ACATCTGTGTGATATAACATCTCTTATAGGTATATACGGGGTGGTAATACAGTGTTACGATACATAGGTATTAGAGGTATTAGCTACGGCGTCGACCGTAAGGCCGGAGAACTCTACAGATGCGTTACATCGCGGAACGCTGATCAACTACTACGGGGGGCCGTACTTAAGGTTGCTAGCCATTATATAGCCTTCGCTTCCGCCCACAACTAAGGTCTTGATCGTGTGATCTATCACGTGTCTTCCAGATGCTGACACATGTCATCAATCTCTATCAGGTCAAACGAATATTACGTCCAATTACATACAATTAATGATTATAATGAGACGCTAGATTGACACCGGACATAATTTGCTAACTGCAAGGCTAACTGCTTAAAATAAAGTGAATATTATAATTATGTGCTTGGAGTTTGAACAGATATTAGGTTGTAGCTTTTATGAATACAAATAAGAATTTGATTCATGTGCATTTTTTCTGCTGATTTAATTAATAATCGTTGCAGGAGTACTACACCAACGTAAATTTATTACAAGCAAGTTACAATAATACGTACCAATTCATGCACGGATCAATTCATTTCTAAGTTGTTTTATGCAGATTGTATGTAATGCAGATTTGTTCAACATCGAAAGAATATAGGGCCTCGTATAATATCCTGGAAGCATTTAGGCTCTTCCATGTTTAATATTTAGTCCCTGGCTACTGCGAGTTGATGGAGATGAGTTCGAGACGAAGGAAGGTAGTAAAACGTACCTTATCTCAACCGAGCAGAAGTAAACTAGTCTAATATGAAAAATGATTTACGACGAACTAGTGAATTCGGGATTCACTTGTAGCATCGGGAACTAAAGAGCCCTGCACTGAGACAAATGAATGGGTCAAGCACCTTAAAAGACTGGGTATTTAAGACCGGGAATTTAAGGCACGGAGATACCTGCGTTACCGCCGCGTTACACATTCACGTTACCGCCGCGTTACCCATTCAAGTTACCGCCGCGTTACCACCGCGTTACACATTCACGTTACCGCCGCGTTACCGCCGTGTTACACATTCACGTTACCGCCGCGTTACCGCCGCGTTACCGCCGCGTTACCGCCGTGTTACACATTCACGTTACCGCCGCGTTACCGCCGCGTTACACATTCACGTTACCGTCATTCACGTTACCGCCGCGTTACACACTCACGTTACCGCCGCGTTACACATTCACGTTACCGCCGCGTTACACATTCACGTTACCGCCGCGTTACACATTCACGTTACCGCCGCGTTACACATTCACGTTACCGCCCTAGTTAGGTGTGCGCGTGTCCAGGTCACACCGCAGCGGGGGACACACTGACCGCCATAAGCTGGGGGGGGGGGGGGGGGATGATAAGGAACTTTATGAGGCCTAGATATTCCATGGAGTATCTAGGTCCTTTCTGGAAGTATATATTTAGGTCTTTCCTGGGAGTATGTAGGTCTTATCTAGGAGTATCTACACGTAGCCACACGATCATATTCTCTCAGAAAAAAATTATTTTTTCATACTGTAGATGTAGTTCGTCAATAATTAATTTCTACAGAATCTAAGCATCTCGTTACTCTGAATCTCTCGGCACTGTCAGGTGTAATTAAAGGTAATCTCAATCTCTTGGTAATCTATCAACTGTAATTAAGATAATCTGAATCTTTTGGTAATCTGCCGGGTAAACTGACTGTAAGTGAGCTAGAAATTGCACATTAAGCATGGATTGGTTTTCCTCCAACCGCCGGTATCGTCCTTCGACCGCCGGTATCGTCCTTCGACCGCCGGTATCATCCTTCGACCGCTGGTATCGTCATTCGACCGCCCGATATCGTACTTCGACCACCGGCATCGTTTTTCTACCGCCGGTCCGGTATCGTCCTTCGATCGCCGGTATCGTCCTTCGACCGCCAGCATATCTTCCTTCGACCGCCGGTATCGTCCTTCGACCGCCGGTATCGTCCTTCGACCGCCGGTATCGTCCTTCAACCGCCGGTATCGTCCTTCAACCGCCGGTATCGTCCTTCGACCGCCCGGTATCGTCCTTCGACCACCGGTATCGTCCAATATTGAGATATCGTCCCTCAAAAGCTATCACTGATAACGGTGCTTGCAGCATTGGTGCTGAATCATTTTGTAGCCACAGTGACCTGTACGGCCGAGACTGCAGTGGTCACTGCATTGCAGGTCACCGCAGTGCTCAGCATTGCAGTGCAAGTCACTGCAGCTGCTCTTACAACATGAATAGCGGTCTGTAGTTGATGGACATTAAATGATCCCCGGCTGGCGGCCAAGTCTCTGACGATTCAAAGAGGGACCAAGAATACACCTCGTGGACCATTCACACCCGACGACCATAATACGGCGGTAGACTCGGCGCTGAAATTCAGATGTAAATACGGATGTGGAACAGTGGCGAAAAAGTACTTTAAAAGATACAGGGAGGAGAGGAAGGTACGAGATGCAGGGAGAAGATTCGGCTATGAAGAAATGGAGGAGAGGAAGGTACGATATGCAGGGAGAAGATTCGGCTAGGAAGAACTGGAGGAGAGGAATGTGCGAGGTCAGAAAAAAGATTCGATTAGGATGAACTGGAGAAGAACTTAAGGAATGCCTTTTTGGAAGTTTTGCAGAATATTTGCCGAAAAAACTGGAGGAGATTCTGCCGAGGAATTGCTCTCGCAACGATCTTTTGTACGGCGGTTGTTAGCGCAAATGGCCTGGTAATTAGGGTGGGGGTAAAGCCGTTATCTTCGTTAACCTTTTGGGGTGGGGTGAGATGGGGATGTGCTTGGGGTTGTTAAGTGGATTGTATCAACCCTCAGACGGTTGAGAGGATTATTTTTATTGCTCCTTTCTAGTCGTTGCGCGGACATGGACCAAGTTTCATGCGCCTCATTTCGAGTGGTTGGATTAATTAGCGATGATATATTAGCGCCGTGATGATTTATCTGCGCTTAGATGATTTATTTGCGGTTAGATTTCTAGGCTTAATCTAACCGCATCTAACTCCATATATTCGAGGTTTTTAACGGCGCATCACTCCAGCTTTGAGTTTCATCCTTTATCATCATGCATCATTCTAGTTTAAATGCAGGAAATTTTGTACCATTGCGCATCATTCAAGTTACAATGCAGCTTCATCACTCTTCATCGTGCATCACTTGAGTTTTATGCAGTTTCATAATACATCATCGCACATCACTCTAGTTGCGATGTAGGTTGGTCATGCATCACTCTAGTTGCGATGTAGGTTGGTCATGCATCACTCTAGTTGTGATGTAGGTTGGTCACGCATCACTCTAGTTGCGATGCAGGTTGGTCACGCATCACTCTAGTTGCGATGTAGGTTGGTCACGCATCACTCTAGTTGCGATGCAGGTTGGTCACGCAGCACTCTAGTTGTGATGAAGGTTGGTCACGCATCACTCTAATTGTGATGCAGGCTCGTCACGCTCGGTTCATGCTCAAGATAACCGGAAATACCGCCGGTCATTAAATCCGCGAGCCGCTCCGCCGCTCCGGAACGTCCGGCATCTCAGGCGTCCGTCCGCCGTGGCCGCCGAGGGCAGAGGTTTGCACCAAACGTGCCCGGACCAAGGCCGGCTACAAGGCAGAGGTTTGCACCAAACGTGCCCGGACCAAGGCCGGGTACAAGGCAGAGGTTTGCACCAAACGTGCCCTGACCAAGGCCGGGTACAAGGCAGAGGTTTGTACCAAACAAATGCCCGGACCAAGGCCGGGTACATAAATAAGATTTTTAATTAACTGTCTTGAGCTATCGACATGATTTGGAACCAACAAGCCTTCGGGACTACAGGTAAATATTTCTAATTGTCGGTAAAAACTCTTTGTGCAGACTAGAAATTTCATGGGTAAATTAGTTGTCTAATTCAAAACCTGTGGTAAACCCTTAATTCAAGTATTTCTTGAAATCTTTCTATTTGTAAAACTGTTTTATTAGGTTTTAGTTATGTTTTAGGTTCGTATATCAATTGATCGTTCATGGTTTTTATGAAAGCAATTAAAGATCCGACGCTACCAGAGCGTGGAGGCCGCTGCATGCCTCGCACGCATCGTCCACTAGCCAATTATGGGCGAGATATCGGCGGCCAAACCTTCACTGTGTTTGTGTGAACAAATCTTCACTGTGTTTGTGTGAACAAATCTTCCCTGTGTTTGTGTGAACAAATCTTAACTGTGTTTGTGTGAACAAATCTTCACTGTGTTTGTGTGAATTGTATGAGTACAGCAGTGGAATATACACGTTGGAAGCGAGGGGTGATCACGTCCATACAGACACACATTCAAGTCACAACCCCACCTCGCATTCAAGTAAAAATGCAAAAAATCGCTAATTGAAAAAATTTTAATTTTGGAATTAGAGAAGGCAGGTGCAGGACGGAAGATAAACTTGACGAAGTCGTACTGCATTTGAAGACTTGTGAAAATTCGCTAAAATTATAGAACGAATATGAAAGAGAGTACGGGAGGCGTTGAAAGAGATTTTTAGATGAGCTGAATGGAGTCAGTGAAGAGTTGGATTATAGTTGGAGGAGCGTTAGGAGAGCTGGAGCAGAGTTGGAGTATTAGAAGTAGAATTGGAGCAAAGTACGGGAAAGTAGAAGTAGAAACGGAGGAAAGTAGAGGCCAGCAGTAGTAAAGGCGGATCAAAGTAGAGGAAAGTAGAAGTAGCGTCGGAGCAAAGTACAGGAAAGTAGAAGTAGAGTCGGAGGAAAGTGGAGGACAGTTGTAGTAGAGACGAAGGAAAGTAGAGGAAAGTAGAAGTAGAGACGGAAGAGAGTACAGGAAAGTAGAAATAGAGTTGGAGCAGAGTAGAGAACATTAGAAGTAGAGTAGAGGAAAGTAGAAATAGAGTTGGAGCAGAGTAGAGAACATTAGAAGTAGAGTAGAGGAAAGTAGAAGTGGAGTCGGAGCAGAGTAGAGAACAGTTGTAGTAGAGACGGAGGAAAGTAGAAGTAGAGATGCGGGAGTTGCAGGTAGGCAGGATGTATCCTAAATGCCCAGGCCCTGAGCGACGCCCCGAGGTGGACACGTCTGCCTCGGTGCAGGTGATTTAATCTCACGAAATAAGAACTAACTTTTAAACTTTAAACTACGAGTAGTGTTAACGAACGGTAGAAACACGTAAATACAAAATTACTACAGGAAAATAATGTACAAAAACTTATAATTGTCAAAATTCAGTACAATTTCTTCTAGTTTCGCAAATCGGTTATTATAGAAATTTTTGTACAAAATTTCTGATGGCACCCAAAGGAATTTATAGTCCAAAAAGCGATGCACTTTTTACTCCTGTGTTGGTCATCCTGACACAGTTTGGCCCAGTAAAAGGCCTTATCAGTGTTAAGTCCGATCTATGCTCATCTTACGGGCCAAAAAAGCACCACTATTTGGACAATATTACCCGTGCATTTTTCTTTGAGCACGCGTCAGTCTCTCGACGCGGCTGCCTCAGGAAAGTTTACGTCGTGGTCGACATTATTTACGAAGATGGGGTGAATCCTGCCTGGATGTTGCATTTCTATGTAATCCTGCCTGGATGTTGCAGTTCTATGTAATCCTGCCTGGATGTTGCAGTTCTATGTAATCCTGCCTGGATGTTGCAGTTCTATGTAATCCTGCCTGGTGTTGCAGTTCTATGTAACTTTAGCCATTAACTGCGTTTTATAATCTAGAAAATGTGTGTGCAATAAATGGTTGCGAAATACTGGATAGATATATTCGATTTGTTCAAATTTAAAATAACACCGTCAGACAATCACCAGAATTCAGATGAAGTATGTGAATTTATTCATATGAGGTGAATGAATGTATCCATATGAAGGGACTGAATGAATTCAAATCAAGTGAATATAACTCTTCCTGGACGCCGGTTGTTGACATAGTAAACATTTTTTTCCTACGTGACTTATGGAGAGGAAAAGAACAATGATAATGAGTGATGAATGATAATGTTGAAGAGAATAGTGATGAAGAGAAGAATGATAATGATGTAGAGAATAATTATAATGAGTGATGAATGATAATGATGATGTGCATAATGATAATTAGTGATGAATGATAATGATGTAGAGAATAATAATGAGCGATGAATGATAATGATATAGAGAATAATGATAATGAGCGACGATTAACACTGATGAAGAGAATAATTATGATAAGTGATGATTGATAATGTTAAAGAGAATGATGATAATTAATAATGAATTACGATAATGAGAACAATACGCCACCAGCTCATGTCAATTAGTTCACGTAGGACCAACAGTTCTCGTCAATTAATGAATTCAATTGTTATCGTTTATGCCGTGCAACTTCTATTGATTAGGTCGTCTATTGATGGCAACTTCTATTGATTAGGTCGTCTATTGATGGCAACTTCTATTGATTAGGTCGTCTATTGATGGCTATTAGAAAGCTCGGTAGCTTTTCACTTGAGCGTTCACTTTCGTTCATTTAATATCATCGAATTTCATCAATTTACATTGTGTGATATATTTCAATTATGGCGCTAAATTATTTTTAATCAAGACATTAAATTTCTTTCAATTATGTCATTAATTTGTTGGGATAAATGAACGTAATATAATTCAATTATGAAGGCAATGTTGTTCAATGGATCGGGCAATTACGAACACAATATCGAGACGCTTTCACTGCTGCAGTGATGCAGTGAAAGTCGGGTCCTGAGTGGGGCATTACAGCCCACTCGGAGTGGTGGGATGAGTGGGGGAGTGGTGGGGTGAGTGGGGGTGGGGGAGTGTTGAGAGGGTGGGCTGAGTGGAGGAGTAGTGTAAAGGAGTGGGCTGAGAGAGGGAGTGTTGAGGGAGTGGGCTGAGTGGGGGAGTATTGAGAGGGTGGGCTGAGTGGGGGAGTGTAAAGGAGTGGGCTGGATTACCCTTTGCGAGTGAAGATTGCACGGCTAAATGCATTGCGATAAATCATAGCCATGGCAGCTGTGATTTATCTGTCAATTTCCTGCGATCATTTATAATCCAATTAGTAGTTATCTTTAACTAGTTATTTTCCCACCCAGTCAAATCCATTAATTACCAGTAGTTGTGCTGGTAGTTGTGCTGGCTATGTATGTGTTGCTGGTAGCTGAGCCGGTATAGTTATGCTGGCTATGTAAGGCTTAGGTTCTTCATTATATTACTTTTAAATCTCCCTTAACTATGAACAATTTTCGTGTTCGCTATCAAATTTACAAACTTGACAAGTAAGAAAGCGGTGTCTGTGCCTGGCCTTACACTCAGGGAGGTGAGTGGAACATTGTCCAAGAAGCGACACATTTTTCCTTTATGTTGGTTCTTCTGACCCAGTTTGGCCCGCCCAAATATCGTATTGATACTACGAGCAGAACGTGTCGCAATTTGGACAGGCGACTCCTACACTTTTATGAGTATAGAATAGAAGTGTCGGCACTGAAGAAATAGGCCCATGGCCTGTTGCCGATTCTTGAATTTTTCGTGACTTGATTCACAAGGGATCCGGCCTTTGGAACCCGATCTTTCCATAACTGACGATTGATTGAGATATCTGCTGGACTTATTGCCTGGGGCCATACTTTCAAAACTCGCTAAGTGAACGTAAGTACTTACGACCTATTTTCTTGTCTACGATAGGTGGATTTTGCTCGATAGGCTGTCAATTATTGGCTGATGAACCTACGATCTCTTAACTTTTTTTGAAAGTATCGGCCCTGGTCCGTAATTGTTGATAACATTCGTGAGAGATGATAACATGCCCAGTGTGGCTTGGTAAGAGTAACAAGGGTGAAGATGTTGTTGCCTGCTGTAGAGTACTATATACTTCTAGTCTTGTGGTACTACTAGTCTTGTGGTACTACTAGTCTTGTGGTACTAGTCTTGTGGTACTACTAGTCTTGCGGTACTACTAGTCTTGTGGTACTACTAGTCTTGCGGTACTCGTGATGGTCAATGGCTGCAGATGCCCACCTTCAGTGGATGACCTCCCCAGGTCAGGTCAGCTGAGGTCAGCGTCGGTTGGCTTCTAATGTCTTAACGTGTCTAAGATGGCTAATGGCCGCTAAAATGGCTTTGTATGGCCATTGTATGTGCTGGCGTTAGAGGGCTTAGATGCTAGCGTAATGTGGCTAAGATGCTGGAGTCAGATGGCTAAAATGCTGGAGTCTGATGGCTAAGATGCTGGAGTTAGATGGCTAAGATGCTGGAGTCAGATGGCTAAGATGCTGGAGTCTGATGGCTAAAATGCTGGAGTCTGATGGCTAAGATGCTGGAGTTAGATGGCTAAGATGCTGGAGTCAGATGGCTAAGATGCTGGAGTTAGATGGCTAAAATGCTTGCGTAACTTGGCTAAGATGCTATAGTCAGATGGCTAAAATGCTTGCGTAACTTGGCTAAGATGCTGGAGTCAGATGGCTAAGATGCTGGAGTCATATGGCTAAGATGCTGGAGTCAGATGGCTAAAATGCTAGGGACCTGCGGAACCTCTGGTTTACCCAAATAGAGCTTTCAAGTTATCTTAACCACGATAAGTTTTAGTGCTGGTTCATAATTTTTTAATTTCTAAAGGAGCTCTCAACTGAAAAAGTGTTAGCCAAACAAATGGTCAATAAAAAAACGCTTCTTGGATAGGCTTTTGATTCAAGAAGTATTAAATACGTCACTTCTTTGTTGCAACTCTTGAGCTCTTTGCATAATCATCATCAACTGAGCACCGAATCAGTTCTTTAATTTATCTTTTTCTTCGCTCTTTATTCAATCTTCCTCCACTTTTTAGCGCATTTTCTCTTTATAGAAAAAAATACACTATTGTGCTCGCCATGTCCGTCTGTCTGTCTGTCCGTCTGTCCGTCTGTCTTTCTGTCCGTGACTTCACGTGTTCGTCGACGAGAAAATGCGCTCTCTGTCACTCGCTGAGTTATATTTTCTATACTCTTGATGCTGTTTTCATCGCTCTTTATTCAATCTTCCTCCTCTTTTTCTATACTCTTGATGCTGTTTTCTTCGCTCTTTATTCAATCTTCCTCCTCTTTTTCTATACTCTTGATACTGTTTTCATCGCTCTTTATTCAATCTTCCTCCTCTTTTTCTATACTCTTGATGCTGTTTTCCTCGCTCTTTATCCAATCTTCCTCCACTTTTTCTGTACTCTTGATGCTGTTTTCATCACTCTTTATTCAATCTTTCTCCTCTTTTTCTATACTCTTGATGCTGTTTTCATCGCTCTTTATTCAATCTTTCTCCTCTTTTTCTATACTCTTGATGCTATTTTCATCACTCTTTATTCAATCTTCCTCATCTTTTTCTATACTCTTGATGCTGTTGTTTTCCTCGCTCTTTATTCAATCTTCCTCCACTTTTTCTTTACTCTTTGATGCTGTTTTCATCACTCTTTATTCAATCTTCCTCCTCTTTTTCTATACTCTTGATGCTGTTTTCATCGCTCTTTATTCAATCTTCCTCCTCTTTTCTATACTATTGATGCTGTTTTCCTCGCTCTTTATCCAATCTTCCTCCTCTTTTTCTCTACTCTTGATGCTGTTTTCCCGGAGCCCTGCCATGGGCTGAGGAAGGCACCGGGCGTTCACCCCTCGCCGGTCCATCGCACGCTTCAGCTGCGCCGCGTCGAGCTTTTTTCCTACCGCGCCGCAGTGTGGGCAACCCGCGCTCCGGCTGCCACCCTAACAAAATTTAGAGTCGCCCTAGCTTCTGGTAATCCAAATCAGAAGCTGCCGCGTCTGTAAATTTAGAGTAGACCCAGCTTCTGGTAATCCAAATCAGAAGCTGCCGCGTCGGTAAATTTAGAGTCGCCCCAGCTTCTGGTAATCCAAATCAGAAGCTGCCGCGTCTGTAAATTTTCACTGGGATGCATGTCCGCGCATGCGTGAACGCTCCGCCGTGTATTAGCTTTTATATATTTATATATTCCGGCAACATGTTGGCTTGTAACATTTTGCTTTTCTATGTTGATCCATGAAACGTATTTTCAACTTTTTATAGTTTATTTATTTATAATAACTTGTGAGTCGTATTTTCTTCCTGTCCAATTCATCACATTTTAA